TTGTCTGTTCCCCTTCCCCCAATTCCACAGCACTGTTCCTATCCCCCAATTCCCCAATAAAAATCTTAAAAAAAAAAAACTAAAGCAAGGAAAATTGTAAACCATAGAATTTTTCAGGAAGATGATTAATGCAGTGCAGGGTTGTTAATTATTGTTCAATGATTTTAGAAATTACTCTGACTCACACTTATCCAGTTACAGGTGACTGCATTTCTTTGGTTTAATGTTTGATAATTTTTTTTTACTTTTTTAATATTGTAAGATATTGCAAGATTTTAGCATGGGCTGAATTCACACTGTCCATAAATTCATAAATTTTGTCTCTAACAGACATATAGTATATCTATGTATACATAACTGATATCCAGTATAAGTGTATTGTTACTCAGTACATTAATATTTTAATAAATGATTCTTAGGTTGATGTCATTTTTGAAGAAGATGCTGGGTTTTTGAATGCAATCAAAACATTCATGGCAACAACTAAAAGACCTGTAATCCTTACTACAAGTGGTAAGTAACAATGATTTTACCATTAATTACTTTCGGTTAAAATTATTTTGGGAAAGCTTTTAATTTTAGTTAGAAATGTTTCTTTAAAGGTCTGCTAGAATTTAAAGTCCTTTTTTCTAAAATGAGGCTTCTAGATAATTTTTTAAACTAAGAATTATTAAAATTTGCAATTGATTGGATAATTTTTTAAACTAAGAATTATTAAAATTTGCAATTGATTGGCAGCCTTGAGTAATTATAAAATTAATATAGTACCTTGCAGGGCCGGCCAAGTGGCTCAGTTGGTTAAGAGCTTGCTCAAGAGTTTGAGCTCTGAGCAATAGCGGTTCGATGCCTGGCCTGAGCTGAGCTGCCCCGAGCTAAACTGCCGCTAAGCTGCCAATAGGTAGCAGGATGGCTCAACTAAAAAAATAAAATAAAATAAAATAGAGTACCTTGCAAATGGCAATGACTTTAAAAATGGGTACTACTTTGAATCACTGTGTTGGGTGTTAGATATTTAGGAAGCCAACAGCAGCCTAGACTACAGATAGAAAGATTTATGGACCAGCCAATGAAAGGGTTTTGGTAGGAGAAATAACAGATCCTTCCCTTTGCCTCTTCCTCACACCTACAACTAAAGCACCAAATCTCATTTATTGGTGAAAATTTTTTATGGGCCCCAACCTTTCTGAAGTTCCTTAATACTGAATTTAGCCATTCCTTAATCCCTTATAACACTTTCATATGGATTATTGCATATTTTAGCTAAAGTAAACCATCATCAGCCTAACAGAATTGGTCCACTTTCCTAATAATGAGCATTCAGTGTTTAATTTTAAAACTCAAAAATTTTTTTATTTCATTATAAATATTGCATTATAATATTGTTTTCTAATATTTTTCATTGCAAATATTCAGTGTAATATCTCTGCTATGGATTTCTATAGGAAAATGTGTTTATGTTAGACTCCACTTACAAATTAAAGGCCCATTTGATAGTAATTGTATTCTAAAATAGCAATAAAAATAATAGTAATCACAAATTAGATGGTAGTTTAAAAGATCATAGCTACTTTAGGTCAAGATAAAAATTCAATTTCTATCATTTTATAGTTTGCATGATACTTTATTTTTATTACTGATAAAATACAGAACATTTCCATTGAAAAAGTATAACTGGAAAAAGTAATTTATTGGTCTTCATGTTTAAAAAAATGTTTTTTTTTCTATAGATCCTACATTTAGTTTAATGTTTGATGGCTGCTTTGAAGAAATTAATTTCAATACTCCTTCACTGGTAAGTTTTGAATTTTGATGGTCATAAATTATATATCAATTACGTGAAAGGTCTATTATGATAGTTATAATTTTAAAATATGGTTACTAAGGGATATGTTAAAAATTTTGAATTTTAGGAAACTGGTTATTATATTTATTTTTTTATTAAAATTTTTTTCAAAATTCAAATTTTTACCAGACTCCAATGTTCACTAGGTTTTTTCCATAGTAACAGTGCTTTGTTTAAGTGAAATTTACATACAGTTAAAATGCCCTTAAGTATACAATTTGATAAATATTAACATATGTAAACCTTCATGTAACCATCACCCATATCAAAATATAGAACACTCCCATTACATCTAAAACTTCCCATGAGCCGTTTTTAGTCAGCATTTCCCACCCCGCCAGAAGTAACCACTATTCTAATGTGTATTAACTTTAATATTAGTTTTGTTGATTCTGAAATTTTAAATAATAGGAAACATTATGTGTTCTAACATTGTTTTTTATATTTATCCATGCTGTTCTGCCGGTCATCTGCATTATGTTAGTTGCTTAACTTTTAAAGAATCTGCTAAATAGGTCTTCAGTGCATGAGAATTCTGGCAGCTGTTGTCAGTCTTTTTAACTTTGGCCACAGTGGTGGTGGTGATGGTGT